ATAGAGCTCAATAATACAATTAATAACTTAGACTTAATTGACATATATAGAATACACCACCCAACATCAAGTGGATACACTTTTTTCTCAGAAGCACATGGATCCTTCTCAAATAAGAACCATATGATCATCTCAATAGATGCAGAAAAATCATTCGACAAAATACAGCATCCCTTTATGTTCAAAACACTAGAAAAACTAGGGATAACAGGAAATTACCTCAACATGGTAAAAGCTATATATGCTAAGCCTCAGGCCAGCATCATTCTAAATGGAGAAAAATTGAAAGTATTCCCTTTAAAATCTGTAACAAGACAGGGATGCTCTCTCTCACCACTTCTATTCAACATAGTTCTTGAAACACTAGCAAGAGCAATTAGACAGACGAAAGAAATTAAAGGCATAAATATAGGAAAAGAAGAACTTAAATTAGCACTAGTTGCCAAGGACATGATCCTATACCTAGCAAACCCAAAAAGTTCAACCAAGAAACTTCTAGAAGTAGTAAATGAATTCAGCAAAGTGGCAGGATATAGAATCAATACCAATAAATCAAAGGCATTCCTGTATATCAGTGACAAATTCTCTGAAATGGAAATGAGGATAACTACTCCATTCACAATATCCTAAAAAAATAAAATAAAATGCCTGAGAATCAACTTAACAAAAGAGGTGAAAGATCTATACAATGAAAACTATAGAACCCTGAAGAAAGAAATAGAAGAACACCTTAGAAGATGGAAGGATTTACCTTGCTCATGGATTGGTAGAATTAATATTATTAAGATGGCCATATAACCAAAAGCACTTTACAGATTCAATGCAATTCCCATCAAAATTCCAATGACATTCCTTGCAGAAATAGAAAAAGCAATCATGAAATTAATCTGGAAAAATAAGAGACCCAGAATAGCTAAAGTAATTCTAAGCAGGAAGAGTGAAATTGGTGGTATCGTGATTCCAGATTTTAAACTATACTATAGAGCAATAGTAATAAAAACAGCATGGTACTGGCACCAAAACAGGCTGGTAGACCAATGGTACAGAATAGAGGACACAGAGACAAATCCACAAAATTACAATTACCTTATATTAGACAAAGGTGTTAAAAGCAGGCAATGGAGAAAGATAGCATCTTCAACAAATGGTGCTGGGAGAACTGGAAATCCATATGCAACAAAATTAAATTGAATCCTTTTCTCTCACCATGCACAAAAGTCAACTCAAAGTGGATCAAGGAGCTAGGAATCAAACCAGAGACTCTGCATCTAATAGAAGATAATATTGGCCATAATCTTCATCACGTGGGGGCAGGCCCCAAATTTCTTAATAAGACACCTATAGCATAAGAGTTAAAAACAAGAATCAACAAATGGGACGAATCCAAATTAAAAAGTTTTTTTCTCAGCAAGAGAAATAATATGTGAGGTGAATAGGGAGCCTACATCCTGGGAACAAATTTTTACCCCTCAAACATCAGATAGAGCTATAATCTCTAGAGTATACAAAGAACTCAAAAAGTTAAACAACAAAAAAACAAATAACCCAATCAACAGATGGGCCAAGGACCTGAACAGACACTTCTCAGAAGAGGATATACAATCAATCCACAAATATATGAAAAAATGCTCACCATCTCTAGCAATCAGAGAAATGCAAATTAAAACTACTCTAAGATACCATATCACTCCAATAAGAATGGCAGCCATTATGAAATCAAACAACAATAAGTGCTGGCGAGGATGCGGGGAAAGAGGTACACTCATACATTGCTGATGAGACTGCAAATTGGTGCGGCCAATTTGAAAAGCAGTATGGAGATTCCTTGGAAATATGGGAATGGAACCACCATTTGACCCAGCTATTCCCCTTCTCAGACTATACCCAAAAGACCTAAAAAGAGCATACTACAAGGACACAGCCACATCAAAAGTTTATAGCAGCACAATTCACAATAGCTAGACTGTGGAACCAACCTAGATGTCCTTCAATAGATGAATGGATTAAAAAATGTGGCATTTATACACAATGGAATATTACTCAGCATTAAAAAATAACAAGATCATGGCATTTGTAGGGAAATGGATGGCATTAGAGCAGATTATGCTAAGTGAAGTTAGCCAATCCCTAAAAAACAAATGCTAAATGTCTTCTCTGATATAACGGGGGTGACTCAAAATGGGATAGGGAGGAAGAGCATGAGAAGAAGATTACCACTAAATAGGGAAGAGAAGTGGGAGGGGAAAGGAGGGAGAAGGGGAATTGCATAGAAGTTGGAAGGAGACCCTCATCGTTATACAGAATACATGTACGATGTTGTGAGGAGAAAAAGAAAAAAAAAGTGTGTCATATTAGATTGGATAGAGAGAAGGGATGGGAGGGGAGGGGAGGGAAGGGAGGATAGGAAGGGCAGCAGAATAAAATAGACATTATGATTGCTGTATGTATATAGGTGACTGTATGACCAATGTGATTCTGCAACCTGTACACTCAGAAAAATGAGAAATTATACCCCATTTGATTCAAATGTATGAATTGCCAAGATCATTGTAATGTCATGTGTAGCTAATAAAAAAAAAAAAAAGATCATGACGGCATCCTACTTTCACAGGAGTAACTAGAAATTTTTTCACAAAGCTCAGCCACACAGACACTCAGAGGCTGCTACAGTCATGATCCCAGGAGGCCTGGCTACTGCACAGGAGGCTGGCAGTCCTTGGCATCAGCCACACGGTGCTAGTTATTCAGGAATGCAGGATGCGAGGGTCAGAGAGTCATTGAGGCTTCCATTGAGATTTCAAAGGAAAAACTGGGAGGTCAGCCAAAGTATAGCAACTTTGGAGTCCTTGAAGTCTTCCCTGAGAAGGTGATGCATGAAGTTGTGAAAATAAAGCCAAATCTGCAACAGAGACTCCCCAAATATAAGAGATGCCAGTAAATTTGGACACATTCTGAAGACAGCTGCAAGAATCAAGCCAAAGCAAGTCAAAAGAAAGGCCTTGTGGGCTTCAGCAAACCAGGTCACAGGCACAGAGCTACACAAACCCTTTGGACAGAACATCGCAATGCCATGTTCCCCAGCTGCGAGACATGGAGCTACAGAACTTGTTTTTCTAGCTAAATTTTCATATTCCTTTGGTTCTGTTCCTTATTTCTATGCCCCTATTTCTCCCTCATAAATGGGAGTGAAAATATTTACTCTGTGCTATTGTATATTGAATATATGTATTTTGCTTTTCATATTTATAAGGGAAGAGCTTAAAATTTGCCTTGGTCCGTCCACCACAAATTCAAATACGAGTGGATCAACTCAAATCACTTATCGACTTTCAAAAGTTATTAGGAGACATAAATTGGATAAGGCCTTATCTAGGCATACCAACAGGAGAGTTGGGACCTTTATTTGATATCCTAAAAGGTCCATCAGATCCAAATTATTGAAACATATATGGAAAATATGCATTTGGATAGAATTGATATAAGTTTGCCTTTATTATTTATTGTAATACCAACAAAAAATATTCCTACAGGAGTATTTTGGCAAGAAGGTCCATTACTGTGGATACATTTATCTTATTCTCCTAACACTATTCTTACTAGGTATCCTGAGGCTGTAGGACAATTAATACTCAAAGGAATAAAAGCAGCAAAGGGAGTGTTTGGAATTTCTCCCAATAAAATTATTACTCCATATACTATGGATCAAATTGATGAGTTAGCTAATGAGTTAAATACTTGGGCAATAATCATGTTTAAATCTAATGTTTCATTTGATAATCACTTACCATCTAATCCTTTGTTGTCTTTTTGGTCTTCGCATCCTGTAGTTTTTCCAAAAATGACAAGAAAAACCCCTATCATGAATGCTCAAAATGTATTCACTGATAGGTCAAATAATGGTACAGCAGCAGTAGTTACCCCTGTTCAAACTTTTACATTTTTAGTACCCAATCAGCTCAAAAGGTAGAGCTTAATGCAGTTTTACAAGCTTTTGTGATGTTTAAAGATTCTGTATTTAATTTATTTTCTGATAGTCAGTATATAGTTAATGCTATAGTATCCCTTGAAGATGCTGTTAGGATTTCCCCTTCCTCTACTGTTTTCTCTTTGTTTTCCACTATACAGAGTTTAATCTGGGACAGAAAAGATCTATTCTTTATAGGACATATCAGAGCACATACAGAATTGCCTGGAGCCCTTAGTTTAGGCAACGATTTAGCAGATAAAACTACACATGACATACATATTTTCTCTACACTAGAAGAAGCAACAAATTTTCATAAAAGGTTCCATGTCAATGCTAATACTTTACAAAAGCATTTTAAAATAACTAAGGAACAAGCTAGACAAATAATAAAACAATATCAAAATTGTATGACCTTTTTAACCACAAGTTAATCTTGGAGTCAATCCTAGAGGATTGATACCTAACCATATTTGGCAGATGGATGTCACACACTTGCCAGAATTTGGAAAATTAAAATATTTGCATGTTACAGTTGATACTTCTTCCAGATTTTTGATGGGCTCCCTTCATGCCGGAGAAAAAACTAAAGATGTTATAGCTCATTGCTTACAAAATTTTGCCACTGTGGGCGTTCCAAAACAGTTAAAACAGATAATGGTCCTGGCTATACCTCTACCTCTTTTAAACAATTTTGCTCATCATTTGGTATTACTCACATAACAGGAATCCCATACAATCCACAGGGACAAGGCATAGTTGAAAGAGCTCATCAAACTATTAAAATATACTTATTAAAGCAAAAAGAGGGAATTGGGAAGGGGTACATATCCCCCAAAGATAAACTTAAAATAACCCTTTTTACTCTAAACTTTTTAAATTTGGATTCATCAGGGCTTAGTGCTGCGGAAAGGCATATGTGTCCAAAAAATGTACATAAGCCTAAGGTACTTTGGAAGGATATTCTAACAGGACAATGGAAAGGTCCTCACCAGTGATTGTCTGGAGTCAGGGTTCTGTTTGTGTGTTTCCACAGGGAGAACAGCAGCCGATTTGGATTCCAGAGAGACTAACCAAAGCGATTTCTATAGACCAAAAAGAAGATGATTTGACTCAAATCCATAACAGCTGATATCCAGAGCTCCAGCTTGGCTATTCTTACATCTGCGACAGTGATTAACCAGGATTTTTTTAAATATCTATTTTATTATTGCCTTTTCCCACATCATAAAGTTCTATTTTATTTCTTGAGCTCATACAGACCTAGGTTAATGTTTTTCTGATCAGTTTTATTTTTTGACTGTGGAGTTTTTAAACATTGCAACGGAGATTTCACCTGTGTAAAGCTACAAGGCCTTTACTATGGTCTTATGTGTTGTATGTTTGTGTGCACACTTGTGTTTTGTGTTGTATGTCTGTATGTGCGTATGTCCATATATCATATATGAGGAATACTCATGAAAAATTGGATCCAAATTTTTTTATTCACATGATTTAAATGGTTTAATTTAAATTGGGTAAACAGCTATTGAGGATTGTTTTAATATGTGAACAAATAAGGAGGTTTACAGATCTGTTTGTTTACTTTCACCTTTCCTTTTCATTATATTTAATAATTCTGTTCAGGATAATGTAAATTTTTCAGAAAATTGTTTTCTTAGTGCCTGTTAGAATGTTACATAATTTTTTTTTAGCCATCATTCCCAGAATTCCTATCTTCATCCTAGTGCCGGTGAAGACAAAGATAAAACCAAACTACAACCTCTTTGATAGCTATCACAGTAAACTGTATAAACTGATGCATCAATGAATAATAACTCAACAAGTAATGTTCAATCAAGGAGTCGATTTACTTTGGGAGGAAATGGGCATATTGATAGATTCCTCTGCTTTGAACTGCTTGCAGAAATTGCCTGGACTGTGTATCACTTGTATGCATTGTGAACTATCTGTTGGTGCAGCGAACTGTGGTACTGCTGGAGTATCTTTGCTGATGGTGTCACCAGTGGTACAATTTTTCAAAGGAGCCATCAATTGGCTTAGTGTCGTGGCATTTCTGTATCCTCCTCCCTTCTGCTAGTGATGGTCTGAAACTTGGGGGCCAACAGAGGTGAGGCAAAGAACCTCACCCCCCCACTGGCACCAAGGCCAAATTTGGGGGCCAACAGAGGTGAGGCAAAGAACCTCACCCCCCCACACTGGCGCAAAGGCCTATCCACAAGTATGGCTGTATGCTGGACCACTAGTCAGTGACGGATATGATCCAATTGCAGTGGTACCAACCTAAGACAGGAGGCTGACACCTAGAGGTCAGCTCATCCGATGACGGGTAAGGACCATATGTTGTATTGGACAACCTAACAGGCATGGTCCCTAAGCCACAATGCTTGTTGTTTAATTAAACAGAAGGGGGGAGATGCTGAAAGCCACAGCTGAGTTGGAATGGCCCCTGGCATTTTGCCAATAGTATTGATTGACAGGCGAGGCATTAGTATCTGCCTCAGCTGCTAGTTTGCAATTCTCACGCTACTTTGGAGTTCTCGTGGGGATTCCCGGGAATTCCCGGAGAGTTCCCATTAGTTGGGGAAGTGCAGGAGGAGGAATTTCCGGAGGATATTTCTGGCTGCTGGTTCCTGCAGGAGCCATGTGGCATTCGGGAGGAGTTCCCGGGGAGCATGTGTGGAGCGTGCTGTCGGAGTTCAGAAATAAAAGTTTGTTCCTGCTTCAGTGGCTCGTGATTTGTGCCCAGCCAGACTGCAGCACTAAGTGAACTCTACCACTGAGCCTCTCCCCAGCCCACAAAGTGCTGACTACATTATGCACAGTGCTAAACACTGACCTAAAAGCAAGCACCAGTGGTTGTGTGGGGACAGTTTGTACCACTGTAAGCCTGGAAAACAGAAGTCAGGAACTAGCTGCATCTGGTGACCTTTCTGAGGTTTGGTGGGTTCTGGGGTCAAATGCACATTCTCTGCACCCAGCTCTGGCTGAGGTCTTAACAGACCAGATGCTTCTGATGGTGCCCAGAAGTCACTTCCTGACTTCAGCAGTGTGCCTCCTAGGGAGACAGATTTCTCTAGATCATGACTACCTGCTTCCACCACACCCTCTTGTGGTACCAGGGATTAACCCAGAGGCACTTAATAACTACATCCTCATGCTTTTTTAAAAAATAAAATTTTTTTTGAGACTAGGTCTCATTAAGTTCCTGAGCTTGTCTTTGAACTGTGATCCTCCTGCCCCAGCCTCCCGAGTCTCTGGGATTACAGGTGTGCCCCTTGGCTCCTATAAAGAAACCAGTCCTTCCTTCAATTCAACTTTTTCTCCTACTACAAACAGCGGCAGGAACCACAGGCACCCCTTCCCTTTACCTGTCACTCCCCATTCACCCTCCTGCCTGTAGGCCCTGGCAGCCACTCCCCTGCTCCGTCTCTACAGATCTGCCTGCTGGGAACTCTTCCTGTAAATGGCATCTCAACACCAACAGTCTTTCATGGACTTTTTTCCCTTTGCATAATGTCTATGCCGTTCCTCCAGTAGCAGCATGGAGCAGTACATGATGTCCTTGCCCAGTACTACTCCATTGCAAGGACCTGCCACATCTCACCTGCCCACTCTTCAGCTGATGGGAACCTGACTTCGTTTCTCTTTATTGATTCCATGACTACTGAGAGCCTGAGGCTGGCCTATAATGGACTTCCATTTGGCCATTGTCTGTTTCTGAGTGTTTGTGCTTATCATGGGGGTGGTTTAACTATGACCTCATGATGTCCCTCCCATTTAACCTTTTTCCCCAATCTGTGGTGTGAACTTCATCTAAAATTCATGTTTTGAAATTTAGTGCCCCAAGGTGGTATTAAAAGTGGGACTTCTGGGATGTGGAGCCTCATGAATGGATCAGCACCCTAATCCATAAGGGAATTAAGAAAGCAGTGTAGGCCCCTTCCCTGTGCCCTGCCACCCCTCTGCCACGGGAGGACAGTGTTCACATCACCATGGAGAACACAGCAACAGGCACCCTCTCAGAGGGAGAGACCAATGCTCAACAGATACCAGCTCTGCCAACACCTTGAACTTGGACACTCCAACCTCCAGAACTGTGAGAAAACTAACTTCTGTTGTTATAAATTACCTAGTCTCAGGTATTTTCATATAGCTACACAAAAGAACCCAGACATCTATTAACCCAGTACATTCAACTTACATGTCAGAGGCCAGAGATGATGCACAGCTGTAATGCTAGTGGCTGGGGGAGGCTGAGGCAAGAGAATTACAAGTTCAAGACTACCCTCAGCAACGTATCAGGGACCTAAGAAACTCAGTGAAACTCTGTCTAAAAGCAAAAAATAAGAACTGAGAATGTGACTCAGTAGTAATGTGCCCCTGGGTTCAATCCATAGCACCAAAAAAAAAAAAAGAAAAATGTAAAAAACATTTCCCAGTGAGAATGCCTCCCTGGTGCCACAAGTTTCCCACCCATAACCCTCTGAAGGCCCACTGGCCCTTGTTCTGCCCTTCCCCCTGCCTTGGCCAGGCTCTTTCAAGTGACTTTGTGTGGGCATCTGTGCACACTGTCCCCTTCTGCTGGGCGCTCTGAGAGCAACAAGCACTTTTACTGTGTGTTCTTCTCCAAGTGTGATTTTTTAAATTGTATTAACATTATATTTCATGTTATAATGTTAGCAATAAACCACATTCTAGGTAGAACAGTCTCTGCATTTTAGGAGCTTATGAGGATATGAGATGGTTAAATGAAACAAATATCACAAGGGACTAGCCAAGAAACCGAGGTGGTCTTAATCATGTATTCTTGATATGATCTTATATAAATGTTAAAAGTGATATTCACATTATTCAGAAATTTTAAATTTGTTCTTAATCAAAGTAACATATGCATATAGTTTTTAAACTCCGATGATGGCTAAAAGTGCATTAAAAAAATCATTGATCTGCTTCCCTTCTTTCCTGTTTCCTCCCCTCCTCGACTCCCCAGAGGCAGCCATGAGAGTTGTTTTAGTTTTTAATTTACCTGCATTTCTGTGTTTTCAAACGCCCACATTCTGCCCCCTCCTCAGAGCTGGTCTTATTGCTGTTCATTCTTTAGTCACTGCCGCCCCAATGGCAGGAGAGGGTCTGGCAATCTTCCTGCCGCCCCCTCCGGCGTGGGTTGACCCGGGGGCCTCACCTCTGAGCTGCTCCCCAGCCCTGTGTTTGGCTCTGAGAGCATGGGCTGGGCTGCAGGGCTGGCCTGACCCGCTGCCCCCGCCCAGGCCTCGGTGGAACCTCTAGAGCCCACTGTCCCATCCACGCCCAACCCTGCAGCGGGTCACCTTCTTGGTGAAATCCTCCCTCTGTCTCCGTGACAGTGCAGGGACACTGCTCCCACGGGGCAGGTGGGCGTCTGGAAGGGCACTTGCCCTGCTTCCCCGCTCTCCTGTCTTCCTGGGATCTCTGCCACGATGCCCCGGGTCCAGAGCAGGCTTTTCTGCATCAGGAAGCCTCCTGCCCTGGCTCCCCACGAGGTTGCCCCGCAGCTCCTGGGCCTGCCGTGCGAGTGGCCGGTCTCTCGCGGTGGCCCCGGTAGCTGGGAAAGGACAAGAACTCTGTTTGCTGATCTCTTGGTCGGCTTCTTCTCTTACTGTCCAAGTCCTTACTGTCCGTGTCTAGTTCCCTGTGGCTTCATGATGGCGCCTAGAGGTGAGGGACGAGCTCCTGATTGAACAGCAGGATCCCTGGCTGGTGCAGCTCACTGTGGGCCCCTGCCGAGCCTAGCGGGCAGGTCAGGCCCCCAATGCACAGGCGGGGTCCTCACACAGAATTCAGCCAGCCATCTCCATTGCCCCTCCCCTTCCCAATGCTGTCACTTTTCATTATTAAATATCACCCTAATCCAGCCTGGTAAGCACAGTGCCTCATCTCTCTGCTCATATACAGCTTCCCCGAGGATCTCTTCTGCTTGGCCACCCTGAATTTGGCCATCCTCCCTCCTGATTAAAATGACTGTTGAAGAGGTCTATGCTGCGACTATGCCGCCTCAGGGCACCACAGTGAGGCCACTTGATGACCATCAAGCCTAGTGTCCATTGTAGTCTCCAAGGAGCATCTGATCCTCAAATGAGCTGATGGGCAGGCCAGGGAGACACCTTCTGGCTCCCTGGAGGTCACTCAGCATTGAGGCCTCCAGGGAGAGGAGACCTGCCTCTGGGTCTCCCAGAAATTAAGTCAGGAACAGTCCAGTTCCAGTCAAATGAATCTTGTTAACCTTTTAAATCATCATTTTCCTGCCCCTCGCAAAAAAAAAAAAAAAAAAAAACCTTAAAAGGAATGGACATATAAAAATTATGTGCATGGAAGTAAAATTCTTGCCCTGGTGACAGACTTGATTAGAGTGTTTTTTTGGTCTCCTGGGGCACCCAGGACCCCACTATTTCTAGCACATAAGGCATGGAACAGCCGACTGGCTGCTCTGCCCTATGCCTCCAACACGTCCTAAGGTGTCCATGGAGGGCTGTGTAGCAATGGGAGTCCACTGGTCCCACGGCCTCTGCTGAACCAGTCAGTGTACCAAGAACTGTCACCCACTGGGGCTGCTCCTTCCCTGAGGGATGATGGCTCTGTCAGCTCATCAGAAGTTCCTGCTGCCTCCTCAGGTGCATACTGCACCAGCCTTACATTTTCCTGGAGCACATGGGATAAGAAACTAGTGTGCAAAGCCCTCCTTTTCCGAAGTATGTCCCCACGTTGCTGGGGAGGTGTCTGGGCTACGCCTGTCCAATTCCTGCACAGTGAGAAGTGCTACAGGCAGAGAAGGCAACACTTTATCTAATTCTCCATAGTACACCACCATTCTCCAGGGCACCCTGGGTTTCTTCACCAGCTGTGAGTGTTCTGCAATCATTGTCTCAGGGAGGGTGGGAGTGACAAAGGCCAGTCATTCCATCTCCCCTGGAGAGCAAACACTGCTGTCCACCCCAGTTCCAAGGGTGCAAAGCCCATGCTGCCAGTGGGTGTTTCTCTTCCCTCCTGAGCTCCTTCTTCTAAAGGCCTCATTGCAGGGGCTGCAAATTCAGTGGGGACAGAAATCTCCTCTGCGCCCTTTGTAAAGGCCTGGGAGTTAGACCTGGTTGGGAATTTGTTTTATTTCTACAGGTGAGCCATCAAGACACACAGAGTCAAGGTCGCTTTTAATGTTTAATTCAGTGCCAGCTTAGGTCTCACACTATTTTATGTCTGGGAGTGTATATCAAGTCCTAGAATGTATTTTCCACTCTTCTCCTTTTCTTCCTTCCAGTATGAAGGAAGGTGACTGGTCTTGTTTATAATGCTAGGCCTTAAACCCACAGGCACTCTGTCCCTGAGCTCCATCCCCAGCCCTCTTCATGTGTTTTATTGACTCAGAGGGAAACACAGTCCACATTCCAATTATCCAAGTTCAATGTCGGGTTTGGGATGGCTCTGTATCCTATTGGAGGTCTGTCAGGGAGTGGCAGTACCTTGTCCTAAAGGAATTATTCTGCAAGGCTTAAGGCCTAAGGAATGATTTTCTTTGGCAACTAATCAGCATTATTAGTAAAACTGGGAATCATGAAAATAAGGCAATACTGTTCTCTTTCTGGTGACTGTAGTTTATGTGTTTCGGCTCATGTGTTGAGGAAAGGTTCCTAGGCTCGGCTGGGAGTTGTATCAGGTTACACTGTTGCTCAGCTTTTCCTGGACACAAGGAAGGTATATCTGCAGAAAGTCCCTCAGGCAGCAAAGAAGTGCTAGAAAATAAAAAAAGAATCTTTGTGCCATGGGCAATTCTACCTTTTACCCTATTTAATTCAGAGATTGTGAGATTGGGCCTGGCCACACACACACACACACAAAAGTACAAACAGGAAATATTATATTTAGCAGCCTCTTGAAGTCAGCCTTTTTTCCTACTTCAAGAGGGAAGCAGGAGATAGAGATAAACTCTCAACCTGGTGTACAAACTCAGTGCAGATAATAAATGAGCAGGAAGGTGACAGGAACACACTCATCAGGGGCATATGGAATCTTGCAGGAGGACGGCTAGGGAGATGAATGATTTTTACATTCATCCACAGAGGACTTACATTTAAGAGAAGAAAAAATATAAAGACAAGACAGTAGAAGAGGGAAAGTGATGGGAGGGAGGGAAACATGGAAAAAAGGAAGGCAGCAATGCTGACAGAAAGAAATTTAGATGGACAGAAAGAAAGAAAATCAAATGTCCTCACCAAGAAAGAAAGAAAGGAAAAAATAATCTTCCCTCCCTGTGGGTCAGCAGCCCTGCAAAACTGCCCACATGGAAAGGTGGCTGGTGTGGGGTTAGTTGCTACTGAAATGCGTGGCAATCCAGGGCTCTGGGCACTTGTAGCATGTGCAGGAAAGCCAGCAGGTGCTCTGGGGTGCTATGGTTGGGACTTCCATTCTCTCCTGCATGAACACTCTGGTGTTTAGTAAAGGACAAAGGATCCTTAAAAGCTTTGTTAGATTCCTTATATTTGTAGGGCTTCTCTCCATTATGAATTCTCTGGTGTCGAGTAAGATGTGTTCTTCGAGTAAAACCTTTCCAACACTGTTCACATTTGTAGGGCTTCTCCCCTGTATGAATTCTCTGGTGTTCAGTAAGATTTTGTGTTTGAGTAAAACACTTCCCACATTCTTCACATTTGTAGGGCTTCTCTCCTGTATGAATTCTCTGGTGTTTAGTAAGGTCTGAGGTTTGATTAAAGCCTTTCCCACATTGTTCACATTTGTAGGGCTTCTCTTTAGTATGAAATCTCTGGTGCTGAGGAAGGTAACCTCTTCGAGTAAAACATTTGCCACATTCTTCACATTTGTAGGGCTTCTCCCCTGTATGAATTCTCTGGTGTTGGGTAAGGTCTGAGGTTAGATTAAAACCTTTCCCACATTCTTCACATTTGTAGGGATGCTTTCCGGTATGAATTCTCTGGTGTTGAGTAAGGCATGCTCTTCGAGTAAAACCTTTGCCACATTCTTCACATTTGTAGGGTTTCTCTCCTGTATGAATTCTCTGGTGTTTTGTAAGGTTTGAGCTTTGATTAAAACCTTTCCCACATTCTTCACATTTGTAGGGCTTCTCTCCTGTATGAATTCTCTGGTGTTGAGTAAGGCAAGCTCTTTGACTAAAACCTTTGCCACATTTTTCACATTTGTAGGGCTTCTCTTTACTATGAAATCTCTGGTGCTGAGGAAGGTAACCTCTTCGAGTAAAACATTTCCCACATTCTTCACATTTGTAGGGCTTCTCTCCTGTATGAATCCTCTGGTGTTCAGTAAGGTCTGAGGTTTGATTAAAACCTTTCCCACATTCTTCACATTTGTAGGGATGCTTTCCAGTATGAAGTCTCTGGTGTTGAGTAAGGTGTGATCTTTGATTAAAAGCTTTGCCACATGTTTCACACTTGTAGGGCTTCTCTCCTGTGTGAATTCTCTGGTGTTGTGTAAGGTATGCTCTTCGAGTAAGAACTTTGCCACATTCTTCACACTTGTGGGGCTTCTCTCCTGTATGAATTCTTTTGTGTTGAGTAAGAGTTGAAAACTTCTTAAAAACTTTTCCACATTCTTTACATTTGTAGGTTTCCTCATTGCTATGGCATCTGAGGTGTTTAGAAAAGTTCGAACAATTTTTAAAGGATTTGCCACATTCTTCACATTTGTAGGGTTTCTCTCCAGTATGAATTCTATGGTGCTTACCAGGGGATGGTTCTTGACTAAAAGTTGTGCCACATTCTTTAAATTTGTAGTGTTGGTCACTGCTATGGTACCTGTGGTGTTTAGAAAGGGGTGAGCAACTCCTTGCTTGGACACACTCCTTAAATTTGGGGGGCTCCCTTCCAGGATGTGCTCCACTGTATTGAGGAAGGCTAGCAGCTGGGTTAGAAGCTCTCTCACATTCCTCACATTTGCAAGGCGCCTCTTGGCCCTGAGTACTTGGATGGCTCATCAGCTTTGAGCACTGAGGAAAGACATTCCCACATTCATCATCTCTGTAAGGGTTCTGTGCACAATGACCAAGCTGATGTTCTCTCATATTGCAACCAGAGCCAGAGTTCTTCTGTGTTTTGCTACATTCACAATTGTTTTCTTTAACAGAAGCACATTGGTAATTGCTTACAGTAGAGACCTGACTAAAGGTGTTGCTTGTTTCATTATGTGTGTTGCACACTTTCCTGAAATTTATATCTGAATTTAGATTAAGCAGTAATGAGTAAACAGGGGCCTCTCCACAATCCTTATAGATGTATGTTTGGGCACAAGAAGACATTCTTTGTTCATTGCAGAGTAATGGATGGTTTCCAATGAAATTTTCTAAGTGATCACTTTTAGAAACTTGGCCTTTAGTTATAAATTGAATACTTTCTTGAGCTATTAAATGTTCTTGAGTTCTGTTGACAGTAGAATTTTCATTATGGACAGTCACTACTAATTGGTCTTGTTCTTTATAGTATGATTTCTGACCTTCATTCTCAC